GCTGGTGAGCGGGCGGCGGAGGTGCGCACACTGGCGTAATTGGCTAGAGCCAGACATGTGATTGTGAAAAACGCGCCGAACCACCGCCACTCGAATTAATCCGGAGGCTTTTAACCCGAGTCGACGAAATGCGTTCAGAGAGGGGCGCAGGATGCGGTTAAGGGAGGGAGCGAGGGGGGGGGGCGGAATAGGGGGCTAGAGGAGCGGTGAGAGTATAGTGAGGGCGAACGGTCAGCAAGCGCACTGCGTTTGCCTATAGTGGACGGGGTACATCAAACAAAGAAACGAATAGTGGCAAATAATTCGCACGCGATGCCGCTTTGCACACGGCTACTTATGGTCAAAACATAGGATTTGACCCGCAGAGGCATCAAAAATTTCCCTTAGGGAAAATTCTACAGGCCTTCAAAATTACCATTGCGCCTTACGGGAGGTCCGGGTAGGCAACCCAGCGCACACTAGCCGCGTTTTCGCGCTCCCGCCGCCCTTAAACGCCAATATCTCGGCCAAAAATGCATATTTTTTGATAAACTTTTTTTTCATTTGAAAGAGGAGGTTTCAAGGTACATTTCTAGCTGCCGCACGCAACTCTAAGTATCATAGATCGGACGGGAAGTGGAGCCAAAGATGAAATATCGTGCTAAACGACATCGTTGCGTTCAAGGGCCCTGGAACCACCCTGGAATGGCACCTGGACTCGCAAACAGAGTTGGATCCGAAGCAGAAAAGCCTGGGGAACACGCTCATACCAAAATATTTGCGATTGCTGCGGCAGAACATCGAGTAATTGAAGTTCAAAGTTACAGAAACGTCCGCCAGGCTCGCGCCGGCCGGGCATAGCCCGGTTGCGGCCGCGGTACGCCATAGCAAAACTGCAAATTGTGATGAAAGTAAGGCACTACGCGTACTTGTTGTCTAGACCCATCAGAACATTTTTGCCCGAAGCTGCTCTCGAAGTTTCATCCCTTAGGATTGGACTTTAGGGGTGGTTTTACCCCCACCCCCTAAAATTCAAATTTCCGTGTCTTGGTCGATGTTTGCGATGTCAGTGTCAGTTTCTTCTACTTTTGGGGTGCTGATTCCAAATGTGTCATTTGTTTTGCCCCAAAAATAATTCTGACAAATTTTGAACCACAAATGTCCATTATTTTGACGAAAAGTGCAGTTTTTACTAATTTTCGACGAAAGTCATGTGCGGTTTCGTTTCCGACTAATTTTGGGGTAAGGAAACGGAATTTTTCACTGCCACATCTGTACGGAGTACCATTTTCGATTTTTAGGGGGGTGGTGGAAAGAGGAGGGAGATTTTTTTTCCAAACTGTGAGAAAATATCTAGAGATATATACATAGTGTTTTACAAGGATTGTGTGTGCAAAATGTCAATGGCTCATGACGGCACCCTTACAAAACCTATCAGTTACCTCGGGGTCACCATTTAGGTGTGGTAAGGGAGAAAAGAAAAGTGACTCAAGTAACCCCACCCTACCTTGTTTAGCCCCCCTCCCCTTCCCGCCCCAAGGCTTTTGCCTAAATTACGTTAAAAACATGCCAATTAAAAGCATAGCAAACTATCGTCTATCACCGTCTGCGGTCATTCTACCTTAAAATAGACATCAGATACGTTTATTCCTGGTTCATATTTGTCGAAAATTATACCAGTTTTAATATTTTGAAAACATTTCCCCCTCCCCCTATCCCCTAAAAATCGAAAATGGTACTCCGCACAGATGAGGCGGTTGAAAATTCAGTTACCTTACCCCAAACTTAGTCGGGAACGACACCACACATGACTGTGGTCAATATAGTAAAAAATTAGTAAAAACTGCACTTTTCGTCAAAATAATGGACATTTGTGGTTTATTCCTGGTTCATATTTGTCGAAAATTATACCAGTTTTAATATTTTGAAAACATTTCCCCCTCCCCCCATCCCCTAAAAATCGAAAATGGTACTCCGCACAGATGTGGCGGTTGAAAATTCAGTTACCTTACCCCAAACCGTCAAAATAATGGACATTTGTGGTTCAAAATGTGTCAGAATTATTTTTGGGGCAAAACAAATGACACATTTGGAATCAGCACCCCAAAAGTAGTAGAAACTGACACTGACATCGCACATCGGGAAAACCACCCCTAAAGTCCAATCCTAAGGGATGAAACTTCGAGAGCAGCTTCGGGCAAAAATGTTCTGATGGGTCTAGACAACAAGTACGCGTAGTGCCTTACTTTCATCACAATTTGCAGTTTTGCTTTGGCGTACCGCGGCCGCAACCGGGCTATGCCCGGCCGGCGCGAGCCTGGCGGACGTTTCTGTAACTTTGAACTTCAATTACTCGATGTTCTGCCGCAGCAATCGCAAATATTTTGGCATGAGCGTGTTTCCCAGGCTTTTCTGCTTCGGATCCAACTCTGTTTGCGAGTCCAGGTGCCATTCCAGGGTGGTTCCAGGGCCCTTGAACGCAACGATGTCGTTTAGCACGATATTTCATCTTTGGCTCCACTTCCCGTCCGATCTATGATACTTAGAGTCGCGTACGGCAGCTAGAAATGTTCCTTGAAACCTCCTCTTTCAAATGAAAAAAAAGTTTATCAAAAAATATGCATTTTTGGCCGAGATATTGGCGTTTAAGGGCGGCGGGAGCGCGAAAACGCGGCTAGTGTGCGCCGGGTTGCCTACCCGGACCTCCCTTAAGGCGCAATGGTAATTTTGAAGGCCTGTAGAATTTTCCCTAAGGGAAATTTTTGATGCCTCTGCGGGTCAAATCCTTTGTTTTGGCCATAAGTAGCCGTGTGCAAAGCGGCATCGCGTGCGAATTATTTGCCACTAATGATATTGTACCCCGTCCACTACTAGGCCGGCAGCACGTGGCGTATGTTCTTTTTTTGGGGCGCCGCCGGCCGCCGCCACGGGTGGTCGCGGCACACGCCCGCTGCCCACGTCGTCGCCTCGAGGCTGCAGAGAGCGCTGCAGAGCAAAGGCTCCGCGAGAGCGCTTCCTTTCCTAGCTGCGTCCGCTGCGCGCGCCCAGCTTTCCGCGAAAGCTCGCCGCTTGCGGGCACGACGGTCGCATGATGCCGACTAGCTCGGGCCAAACGTTATCACATTTCGGGAGGGTCCTCCGCTGCTCGTGGCAGAAAGGTAACGGGTAGAGTGGCGGGGACGCGACGTGGGCAGGGGCGTGGGTGGGGGGCGCGGGAGCGTGGGCAGGGGCGGGGGCCGGCGGGGGCGGCGGGGAACACATTACGGCGTGCGGTGGACGGCCGAGCCCCAGCCGGGCACACAGCTGCATATTACAGGAACGTGAGGTCGCGTTTGACCTGCCGACCTCCCGGCTAATGAAGCCGGAAGCGGGTAAAGCGGGAGTGGAGTGGTCCCCTCCGGTCCCCGCGCCGCGGCCAGCACTCGGCCCGCGCGACCACCACCGCCAACTGAACGCACACGAGCAGCACCCCCCGTGCGGGACACGATGTGTGTCGTGTCGTAGGGTCGGCGCCGAAGGGGCGCTCCCGACGGACGGCAACGAAAGACAGAAAGGTGGAATCGGAGGAAACAAACAAGTATTGGTGCAGCGCGGCGACGCTACGTTTAATACACCTGTAGGAAATCGGCGTATTGTTTACAATCGTCGAGTTTAATGGCAACTTCAGCGTCATGACAATCGGAACCCAAAGAAGGAAAGCATGACTGCTGTTCCCTCCTGGACGCTGATTGGCAGACGATGACGTCGGTCTGTCCAGCCAATGAGCACGCCGAAGGAAACGGATCGAGCAGGCATTCCTTACTTATCTAGATTCCTGTTTTCCTGTAGCGGATTACCCTATTACGCAGCCTCTATGGTTTCCGTTTTAGAAGTCGACGTCGGTGTTGTTGTTCCTCTGGCCTAGGCGAGCCCCAGGCTCGGCCGGCGGTAGAGCCACCTCTGCACTGAGCAGGCTACGCGAGCTAGACCCCTTCTTCGACAGGTGAGAGGGGGCAGCTCGCCGCACCTCCCTCTGTGCAGGGCTCTTGGCGACAAATGAATGGCATTGCCATTGCGGCACTACGCACCTGGTGAAGGCCCGGCCCGCGGCTCCCGACAGCGACAGCGCGCCGACAGCTGTGTTGACAGCGGCGACAGCGGCTCGGCTGGGCTAGCAGCAGGTCGGGCAGTCCCTCCCTCACCCCGCCGGGGTGGGTCCGGCGCGTCGCTGCGCACGGAGGGCCCGGGCGGACGGCGCGGACTCGGCGCTCCCCCAGCTGGCCTCCGCAGGAGTGCTTGTGGTTGCTGCCGGCTCGACGTCGAGCGCGCGACTGCGCCGCCGCCCACCACGCGCCCGTGCGACTCGACTCGCAGAGGCGGCCGCGCGCGCCGCCCGCCCAGCCCGGCCAGTCCGAGCGAGTGAGCAGCAGTGGGAGCGCAGAGAGTGAGGTAATTATGTGAACAGGTGTCGTTGTAAAAATAATTGGTTTATTGCAGAATAGTACGTTGTGAGATTATAACTCAACAAAATAACAACATCGCCCCCACCCCGACCCCCCCAAAAAACGGAGAAGAAGATATACAGGTAGATACAATATTCTAAGCTTTGGCAGTGGATACTGACTAAAAATACATAATATGGTAACTGGTTACAAAGTTTCATATCAGAAATATGTGGGAGAACCTGGTGCACATATACCACCAGTTCCCAAGTTCAGCACTTGGTTCAGCAGTCTCAAGAAAAAATGTAAGCTTATGAGCAGAGTGCCAATCAATTAGATGAGTTCTTGACAATAGACAAAGAATGAATATCAGCAAATTTACTTTGAATAATTGATTGAAACTGGGATTCTGGTAACAGAGATGGAGAAACCTGACGGGCTGTGCTCTCTGGTTCCTTAAGCTTTCCATCTTTGCTGTTTGAAGCAACAGGGCCACTTGGAACCAAAATTGTGAAGCAGCGAGTTGTATTGCCATGGTAATCCAACTGTGCACGCACCATTGCCTGTAAAAGAACATTTTGGAGATTATGAACTAGATCCATACATTTAATTGTTTATTTTAACATGTGACTGTGCATCCTGGCAACTGAAAAAAAAAAGTGGGTGTGACCATGGTGTGGTCATTCCTCACTGAATGTGTTAAAGCTTCTTAATTTACCTGCAAGGTGGGCTGAATATAATCTATTCGCTTGTTAAAGAAAACTGGGAATTCCTCAGTAATCCTTCTGTGACTAGAAGATATTGCTTCTGCTGCAGCTATTAAGTTTTGTTTTTCTTTTTCAAGTTTGACAATAGTGTTGGGCATTCTGTCTCCTCGTTCTTCTAACTTCTTAACCTGGCAGGAAGTATAAGCAGAGACAATTCTGAGTTCTGTAAAGTCTCTGTGACGGCAAAAGAAAGAATATGTAATTTATCCATACCCTGGTAGCAATGTTTTTCCACTCTTGCACCAACTGCTCATGAGAATTTAAAACAGCTGCAAGTCCAGAAAATTCACCACCAAATTTCTTAAGGGGTTCTAGGAAGGTTCTTTGGCTAACCCGAAGTAATTCTGAGGCTCCTTCACTTTTCTAGAGAAATTAAATACACCAGAAACAATTTAGAATGTAATAGGATTTTAATTTAAGTAGTCAGATTTCGTTTTAAAAATACAAACCTGCGCAGCGACACTGTGATAATCCTCCACTAATTTGCGTAGATTACTGTTTTCATGACAAAGGATACTTGAGCTCAAATCTGATGTCAGTTTCAATTCTGCTTTCTCAGCATTGGAAACTGCTTCAAGATACCTCTTCATTTCTTTCTGCAGGCGACGGTTTGAATCTTCCACACTGAATCAGAAATCAACAATGGGTCAGGCCCTAAAAAAAAAATTAAAAAAGAAAAACGCACATTATTTTGTCATTTTTTTTTACCTTTGAAGATTTCTGAACAGTAAATCAAGCTGTTTGTCTTCATCTTGTGAAACAGCAGGGTATGCCAGAGTGGGTCGATTAGTCAGATATGTTTTCTTTAAAGGATTCCTGAAAATTACAATATGAATGTTAAAATTGTTTTATTCTTTTTAATACAATTAATCTGTTTCACACAGTACAAGTAGATTCTGTAAAAACTGAAGATAATGTGGATAACTAAACACGATTAAACGTCAAAATAAAGAGACATAACCTCGCCATACCACGTCATTGTTGTTGTTGGAACTGGTAGATGTATGAAACAGGTCGAATCGGATCCGATCGTTTCGATTCAGCAGAGCATATTAAAACCTAGAAATACATATTTTTCGAGATCAAAGATGTCAGCATTTTAAACTTGAACGACGCTGAAGAACTGTCATCTTCAACTGACATAAGCAGACACTCTTCTTTTCCCTCTACTGCAAATAACGGGGACGGGGAGAAGAGGAGAAAGGGATGGAGAGGGGTGGGGAAAGAAGGAAGGAAGATGGTTAAAGGGGTTGTTTAAAGAAGAGCGGAAAAAATGAAAATGGGAGTTGATTAATGTATTTTCTCACACTCTAAGCCCAAAGTGTCGTTTGTAGTATCATGAAGAGTCATGAACCTGAAAACAAACTTACGTTTTGCAACAATTTTTTATTGGTTGACAAGTGTATTATGTTCTTCACAATATTGTGATCTTAAATTTAATTCACCAGACAGGGAAGCGAGGATTCTACATGGTTTAGCTGATGTTGGGTGAGAAAAGTCATTCTAGTGGTGTGCTTGATCATTTAACATCCTTGAACTTCCTCATTTAAAGTTTAGAAGAGGGAGAAAATAATGTTGCCATGACTGTGCCTGTTGCATCCCCAAGCTATTACTGTAACCTTCAAAATATTTGTGAAGATGAACTCAGTACACCTTGTTCCAGATTTACAACAGAAAGTTATGACACTGGCTACAGAACAGAATATACAGTTGGAGTCTGTGGCAATGTCTCTAAAACAGATCGTTTGGCTGGTGTACTTCAAAACGGCACAACCGTTCTGGGGCGTGTTAATAACACAAATGTTGTCAAAGGAGGTAATAGCTCTGATATTTAATTTGTTGTTAATTAAGCCCGTTGAAACTTATGTTTATAAAATTATCCTTCTATTTTTAATGTCTTCCTCTGTTCTTTGACGTCCAACTTCTGATCTCACCATCATTTTCTTGCATCTTTGTTCACTGTTTTACTTTAATTTTTTTTAGGGGATTGGATGATAATGACATTTGGTAGTGGTGATTACTATCCAGATAAAAGTAACTGCAGTGGTCCCCGTGTTGCATTTGTATTGATTAATTGCAATCACAATTTCAGTGAAGAGGTTCGTGTTTATCATTATTTCTATGAAATGCTCTCTGATTTCACATCTTTTGTGTAATGCTTGGTTATATTTTCCATTTATCAAGAATTCCCTCAGATTTATAAAAGAAGTCATTCAAGAACACAACAAAACACAACAAAGCCAGGAGAAAAATAATTGTTTTTTCATGTTGGAAATTCATTCTCAGTTGGTGTGCAATAAGCCTGAGAAAATAGGAGGAGGAACAATATTTTCTATTCTGTAAGTATTGTGTTTCTGTTACTGAAGATTGTGGGCCGTATCAAATTTCTTCTGAAAATTCATTGGTTTAAAAATTTGAAGGCTACTTCTTCTAATACTTGGCTACATTGTTGGAGGAACGCTTTATCAGAGATTGGTTTTGGGAGCCAAAGGTTTGGAACAAATACCAAATTACACTTTTTGGAGAACTGTATGTGAAAACATCCAGGTAAATTGCTGAAATGTTTGTTCATTTGTATGATATTTTTAAAAGATATACATTTGATCAGAGATTTGTCTTATTTCAGGGTGTATGCAGTCGAATTCTTCATCAGAAGAGTAGTACACACAACACTTCATGGGAAAATCTTGGGCCCAGAGTGGAGAGGGACGACGATTCTCTTTTACCTCCGTAAGCTTTAGTAATTGTTTTGCAATAGTCTTACCAAGTGAACTTTATATAGGTGATACAGTTGTCCGATTTTGAAATTATTGAATGTGATAACCAACGCAGCCTGCCCAAGGGCTATCCACAGATAAGAAAACTGTTATAATTCACAAATTAAAGACATATCTAATATTGTTTATTTGACATTATTATACATATTGACTGTTTCAGAAAACTCACACAAGATTGAACCATAATTTCTTTACATCACTGAAACATACAATCAGAAGTTGACAAAACATTAAAGCTACCATTTTCCTTTCAACCTCAAATGGTTTAAGGTGGCCATTAGACCAATGATGGTTGTTCCAGTAAATACTTGACCCCAAGAAGGCATGCGAGCTCCTTTTTCTGATTCCAACATTGGCAATGGTTTGTTTTCTTCTTTGCGGGGATCTTTCCAAAGCGTCCTCATCGGATAGCCAATCAGTACCTGTTCACCTTCAGCTGGAGGTTCACGGCGCTGCAACAGAGGAAGCGTGTAAGAAATTGTGCGTAACTGCTCAGCCCATATAAACAAGACACGTTGGGAACAAAATTGAAATTTACTATATGGGAACAGACTACCTTGACAGACACTATTAGATACAATATTGAAAAAGTTTGCTCCACATTGATAAAATTACTGATGTGTGGTAACTATATCACATACTTTTTAATTTATAGTTTAAAATAGGGCAAATAATATTGTTGGGGTCTTAATTTAAACGCCACAAATCAATATTCATCATGTTTTCTAACCTAGTCCATGTTCCACCAACTACTTCACAGCTTGTCATGTACAGCAACAAAACTTCGACACGATAATGTCATTACTTTTTTTGAAAGACGACTTACCTGGTACAAGATAGACATTGTCGAGGTGTTTAGATTAAGATATTAGAGGTAGAAATGTTTCGCTAGTTTCTCTGGCTGCAACTATGAAACTGAGGTGCAGAGACTCTGACTCTTCCTCTTCAGCTGTTCACGTGAATGTACCGTTTAAATTGTCATATTGGGAGGATATCTTCTGCTTGGCTTTCAACCTCCTGTTCCAGGTTCGGAGCAAAAGGAGATCGTAGTTGCATGGATGCGAGACTAGCGCCTCTTCCGATGAAAAATTATTGTCGTCTCCGGGGATAATTTGGGAGATGACAGCCTCTATTTAGACGAAATTTCGACTTTCACACTGATTTTTGGGGTGTTTGAGAGAAGAGAAAATTATGTCGATACGTCCACTCAAACTCACTATACCAGGTGGCTGATTCACCCCGCGCACTTCTGTAGTTATGCTGTACCGCATGCACGAGAGCGGGCGGTTTGCCTACTCGCTCGGCTCGTAAGGCGCCGTGGCCAGGGGCGATAGGC